CCCCCCCCCCCCCCCCCCCCCCCCCCGCTGTACATGTAGGGAGGCTGGGACTCAAGAGTTCTCAATCAGTACCAATTGAGCCTACCCTGGCCTCCCACTTGAAGGCCTCAGAAATCCACGGAGTAAATATAGACATTGTCTAACTCCTGAAAAAACATTCTCACTCAGCAGTTGACCCCCACAGCAAAGGACTCTCAACTCAGACCAATGGGGAATGAAGAGGAAATCAGTGAGGAACAAGAAATCAGGGAGAGCTCTGCAGATTCAACATTTGTGAGGTCACAATTTGAAAGTTATTTCCAATTCACTCCACTTAATACCCTAAACCCCATCCCCATTAACTGAAACAAGTGTAAAAAATGTGATGCAAGAGAGCTCCCCTAAAAAGTGTATGGGTTTTACCACTGAAGACATAAGAACCCAAGGCTGTTGACTGGGGAGAGCCCAGCGGAAGGGATGACTTCTTTCCCTCTCCTACTTCCACCTCAGGCCTGATGATCTTAGCAGGCTATAGAGGGTCGTAACCTCTTGGGGCCCCAGAGGGATAGTTGCTCTGACTCCAATCAGAAAAGAAGCAGGCCAGACCGAGCTCGGCAGCCCTGGCCAGGATAGGAGCGAAGAAGTAAGGGGGGGGAAGAGGGGAGAAGGGCAGTAAGAAACTCCGGAGTTTGGGCACAGAAAGGTTGGGGGAGGCGACAGTTACAGAACACCCTGGGACCAGAGCGCAGAGCATCCCGAGGAAATCGCAGAATACCCCGCCATGGGTTGGAGTTTCGCAGCTCCCCGCGACCCCAAGTGCCCCCAGAGTATTTGCCTCCTACATACCGGGCCACCCCAACACCGTCCCCCACCCCCATCCCCAGCTCCCCCCGCTGCCCCCGCTCCCGGTACCTGAGCAGGCGGATTCCCTGGAACTCCGCTCTCCGCCAGCCCCGGACAGGCACTAAAGCTGAGCGAACCCCTAATACCCCCATCACCCCAGCTGGCAACCGCCCCAACCGTCGCACCCCAAACGAGACAGCCATGACTCTGCTACAGTCAGCACCCCCAGCCCAGACTAGCGACTAAACTTTTAAAGCAACTGGAGGCTGGGTGGGGTGGGGGGGATGAGGAGAAGGGGGGGGAAGTAGCGAGAAAGGGGGAGGAGGGAGTTCCTAGCCTATGGCAGCACCCCAGGACTGGAGTGGGGGCGGGGCGAGGGAGTGTCTCCCAGCCACCCCGCCTCCCTGCTCGGCCCCCAAGACTTCTAGATCCCGGAAACCCCTCATCTCTCTTCTGTACTACTGAGGAGTGTCGTTTGGCGGGAGGGGGGTGATGGTCTGTCGTGCGGATCCCTTCAGGAATGGGTGGGGTCCACGTCGGGTTTATAGGTGACTGGGACGGGACCTGCCCTTTTGTTCCCTTCTTAATCCGGAATTGGAGAGGGAGGAGGGGACTCTCTTCACTGGCCAGATCCTGTCAGTCCTCAAACATTTATTAAATACCTTCTATATACCAAGCACTGGGCCAAGCACTGGGGATACAAAGAAAAGCCAAAACAAGTGTGGAAGGGAAGAAGCGTGTCTATCCGCTCCTCTAGGCTCAAGGTGTATGACTTTCGCTTCTGAACCATCCCAGCCTCCGCCCATCTCGAGCTTCTTGCAGGGGCACATCTTTCCCTTCCAGTCCTAAACCCTGTATTAAGAATAAAGCATTGGGAATAATTTGTCGAAGCATGCCTCTGCTCACTTAGCTAAGAGGTGGTGGACTACAGGTGAGAAATGAGGCACTTGTTTTCCAACACGGCCAACGTGGCAATTCATTTTGCTCCACTGTACTAATTTGTTGCCAGAAAAGGTTCTGTGGGAGAAAGGAGGAGTAATTGGGAAGTGACAATGATGTCACAGATAGGAAGTGTCTGAGGTCATATTTGAACTCTGTTCTTCCTGATTCAAGCCCAGTGCTCTATCCACTTTGAGACCTAACTTGCCCTTTAGAATATGTACTTACAATTTAGCAAAGGTGAAGAAAAAAATGCTTGTAGACAAGGGGTTCTTGACAGGGTATACACACCCTATCCCCAAAGCATCCATGGATAGATTTAAAGGGAAAGGGGTCTGTGAACTTAGAAAGAAAAAAATTACATCATTATTTATAAATGTAGGCGACAAACCGTTGTTCTGGGAAGGGAAAAGGTTAAGAACCCCTGTTGCAGACACTACAGAAGCCTGGGAGGAAACTTTGTTCACCAATGCCTATGTATATTCAGGAATTGGCAGTATTAAGCTCTTATTTCTTTTCAGAAAACTGGATATTAATGTTATTTCCAGCCTATGGCAAAGCACCTCAGGAGGTGTTATAAAGCAAGTCTACTTACTGAACCGAGCGGGACTTGTCCTGGGACCCATTGTTGGCTAATCAAAGAGAGCCAGGGTGATTTGGGTTTAAGGCATGGTCCTTAAGGGGAAAAAAAAAGGTTTTAGGGATTAAAATTTACATTCCTTTGGGCAGAGTACCCACAGGTAAGGATCATTGTTTGGACTCTGATTGCCTCAGAGAGGATGTATTAGCCAGTGTTTCTGTTTTGGCCAGAAGCCCTGAGGGTCTTCCTCTCTTGGATTGATTTTTTTTTTTTTAACTAGGCAAAGAGGCCATGCTCTGCCTCACTAGTTACCTAGCCTTAATCACTGAATGGGCTCTGCCTCGGTCAAATTGAGACTTGGGAAAGACCTTAGCTTAAACAGCCAAGGTCTCCAACTGAATCCAGGGCCATCTCCAGTTGTCCTGATCTATATCCTGCCACTAGACCCAGATGGCTCCAGAGGAGAAAGTGAGGCTGGTGACTTTGCACAGCCCTTTCTCACTTAAATCCAATTCACGTGTGTGTCATGGCATCACCTCTCTGATGTCACAGTCTTCTTCCAAAATGAAGGACAAAAAGGATATGAACTGACAGTTCTCAGAAGAAGAAATTAAAGCCATCTATAGTTACATGAAAAAATGCTCTAAATCACTATTGATTAGA